GCTGGCTCAAAATTTTCAAAGTATCAAACTGTCAACTCAAGGTTATAATTCCAATCAAGTTATTAACATGTAATATTCAAAGTATCATTTGCCATTATAAACCATAATAAATTTTGCCCCCCCCCCCCCCTCCTTCCCCATGGGGTAAACGTGAGACCCTAGGGTCATAAACCTTAAGACCCTTCCATCTATGAAGAGTATTTGATTCTACCATATCTGGGTCTTGAGAAGAAGATTTTTGAAATTTCAGTAAATTCGACCCTTTTTGGCCCCACCCATCAGCCCCTGGGGGTCAGTCAGGGCTGATATGTGCTTATTATCAAACTGCTACCTAATACTGATAATGCTAACCCAAATTGAATTACTTCCAATGGAAATTAAACAAATGTTGGTCCAAAATGTGATTTCCCTATATAAACTATAGTAAAGTTTACCCCCTCCCCAGGGGGAAACGTGAGACCCCAGGGTCAAGAAATTCACAATTTCGGTAAAGCACCTTAAGACCCTTCCATCTATGAAGAGTATTTGATTCTACCATATCTGGGTCTTGAGAAGAAGATTTTTGAAATTTTAGTCAATTTGACCCTTTTTGGCCCGGCCCCTCAGGCCCCTGGGGGCTTGGGACTAAACCGGCCACAATTTTTGTTGACCTTTGTCCATGGAAGGTTCCTGCAAAATTTCATTGAAATTGGTTCAGTGGTTTTGGAGAAGAAGTCAAAAATGTAAATTGTTTACGGACTCACGACGGACGACGGACGACGATGGACAAAAGGCGAACGCAATAGGTCACTTGAGACTTTGTCTCAGGAGACCTAAAAATATCAAATGTGAAAACATGTACATATATATCATAAATGTATGTAGGCTTAGATACATGTAACAGTATAAACACATGGCAGATCAATTCAGCTTGAGTATTTAACAGATATAAGGACACTACAATGGTAATCATCACAAAATTAACATTTACCCTGCAAAATCAAACACCACCGACATTTACGATAGGTAACAATACCATCCACTGTGATTTCACCAGTAACAATAGGATAAACTCAAATTCATGACAATAGATAAAATGTTGGTCTTTTTCTTTGATATGTCAGTCTAAATTTCACAAAATCTGTAATTAAACCATGTATTTGTTGAACATATGATGAAATTATTCTCAAATTGGTGAATTTCCTGTGTGACTTTAATGGCACATCTTTAGATTATAACAATGCTATGTAACAGATATTTTTTGCGATCCTTCTACTCTTTCGTTTCAAATTATTTTTGTAGAAGAACCATTTTACCTGACCAATCACAAATGACCATCACAGTACTTGACCAATCACAAATGACCTTTGGAAGTACTTGACCAATCACAAATAACCATTGAAGTACTAGATCAAGCACAAATGACCATTAAAGAACTTGACCAATCACAAATGACCATTACAGTACTAGACCAATCACAAATGACCATTGAAGTTCTTCACCAATCACAAATGGCTATCACAGTATTTGACCAATCACAAATGACCATTGAAGTTCTTCACCAATCACAAATGACTATCACAGTACTTGACCAATCACAAATGATCCTCACAGTACTTGACCAATCACAAATGATCATCATTGTACTTGACCAATCACAAATGATCATCACAGTACTTTACCAATCACAAATGATCCTCACAGTTCTATTAGGACTATTTAACAGCTACTTAGAATAATTTCTGACATCAAAATGAAAGCAACCATAGGGATTTCATATTCACATTTCCTGTCCAAATGGTCAGTGGTATTAGTTTTTAGTTTCTCAAAAACTACATGTGACTTGACACTGTTTTAGAAAGAAATAACGCAAACAAGCAATAGCCAGCATTTAAGTTTCGGTCAGGTACGTCTGGACCCCTCATCTACACATGCCGAATGTTCTTGAGGTCAGCCTTGGTTCAGATCTGTGCCTGTCATTTTCTTTACAGGTTCAACCATTTTAACTGATTGAACTGGATACACAAAAAGGGGCCTAATGGTTTGAATATTCAGTTACTAAATATAATGGTTGTGGGAGAAAAATAGGAATTCATCACTGAATATAGATATAAAAATCTCAATCCTCAATATAAGTTTTTTGAGATTCAGAACTATGCAAATCCTGATTTTTGATCTCAAATCCTTACCTTTTAGTTGTGATTTCTATGTCTGTATTAAACAGTCTGTTTGGTATGGACAGGTATGGGCTCTAGGAGTTGGCAGATGTATTCAACTGATATAAATTAGGAGGGGTTTTCCGTTCTTCAGAATTTGGAGGGTAATCATTTCATCAGAGTAAGGAGTGTGTTGGGTTGTATTCAACTCATCTGATATTATCAAAGACACTGAGTTAGGATGGGTATTAACTCAATTAAGTTAAGAGGGGTATTCAACTCATATGAGATTGGGGGTTATTCAACTCTTCTGTATTTTAGGAAGGTGTTGCAGCTCATCTGAGCTAGGAGGGGCATTCAACTTATCTGAGTTAGGTGGGATATTTGACTGATCAGAGTTGGGGGGGGGTATTCAAACGATTTATGTTAGGGTATTCATCTTCAGTTTTAATTAAATAAATTTAATGAATTTCCTCTGAATAATTTTTTCAAAATAGCTCTGCAAATTATGAGTTTCCTTTCAAAAATGTTCTCTAGAAGCTTCACCTCGAGCATGCAGGTAAAACAGTTTCCAATTCATAGGTTCAGGTCTCGCATTGGTATGGAACCCTTAATATGTAACCTTTGACCTCTAAAGCACACTACCAGTAATGCATTGATGTAAAAACATGTCAGATGATCATAAACATCTAAAGCTCTCAATATGTTTCTTGAAAAAATATGATCACATATGAACAATGTCGCTGTGTAGTCTTCACTTGGGAGAAAATATTGTCATTCAACTCATTTTAATGTGATTCAATACTAAACAAACTGATACAGTAGAAACCATATCTAGCCGGGAGCTAGCCCCACACCTGGTATCACAGATAAAAACACTAAGTCTAAAAACAAACTTCGTCACCTGACTGATCTTATAACCTCATCTTAAAGAAAGTTTTACTAATTTAAGATAAACAAGTTTAAGTGCATTTTACAAATGAAACCCACCTTTTATTTAACAGATGATACCGGTAATAAACCCACTCCTTAATTAACAAATGTTACCAGTAATAAGCACACCCCTTAATTAACCAATGTTACCGATAATAAACCCACCCCTTAATTAACAGATGTTACCAGTAATAAGCCCACCCCTTAATTAACCGATGTTACCGGAAATAAACCCACCCCTTAATTAACAGATGTTACCAGGAAGAAGCCCGCCCCTTAATTAACCGATGTTACCAGAACTAAACACACTTCTTAATTAACAGATGTTACCAGTAATAAGCACACCCCTTAATTAACCAATGTTACCGATAATAAACCCACCCCTTAATTACCAGACGTTACCAGTAATAAGCCCACCCCTTAATTAACCGATGTTACCAGAACTAAACACACTTCTTAATTAACAGATGTTACCAGTAATAAGCCCACCCCTTAATTAACCGATGTTACCAGAAATAAGCACACCCCTTAATTAACAGATGTTACCAGTAATAAGCCCACCCCTTAATTAACCGATGTTACCGGTAATAAGCACACCACTTAATTAACAGATGTTACCAGAAATAAGCACACCACTTAATTTACAGATGTTACCAGTAATAAGCCCACCACTTGATTAACAGATGTTACCAGTAATAAGCACCCCACTTAATTAACAGATGTTACCAGTAATAAACCCACCACTTAATTAACAGATGTTACCGGTAATAAACCCACCACTTAATTAACAGATGTTACCAGTAATAAGCCACCCCCTTAATTATCAGATGTTACCAGTAATAAGCACACCACTTAATTAACAGTTGGTACCGGTGATAAACCCGACCCTTAATTAACAGATGGTACCAGTAAAAAGCACACCACTTAATTAACAGATGTTACCGGTAATAAACCCACCCCTTAATTGACAGATGTTACCGGTAATAAACCCACTCCTTAATTAACAGATGTTACCAGTAATAAGCACACCACTTAATTAACAGATGTTTCCGATAATAAACCCACTCCTTAATTAACAGATGTTACCAATAATAAACCCACCCCTTAATTAACAGATGTAACCGGTAATAAACCCACCCCTTTATTAACAGATGTTACCAGTAATAAGCCCACCCCTTTATTAACAGATGTTACCGGTAATAAGCACACCACTTAATTAACAGATGTTACCAGTAATAAGCCCACCCCTTAATTATCAGATGTTACCAGTAATAAGCACACCACTTAATTAACAGTTGTTACCGGTAATAAACCTACCCCTTAATTAACAGATGCTACCAGTAATAAGCCCACCCCTTCATTAACAGATGTTACCAGTAATAAGCACACCTCTGAATTAACAGATGTGCCACTTTTTAAGTTTCTAGAAGAGGCCAACGATATAGGTATATTTTACAAGTATTAGCACATTGTTTTATTTTTCCATTATCAACCTATCATAAAATACAATATTGTATCCTACCATTATAAATCCATTATTGTATTTTACCAATATAAACCCATTATAATAATGCTGTATTTTACCAGTATAAACCCATTATAAAGTGAAATATATATGCAAGACCACACACTTGTGTTTTTCTAACGAATCAGAAAGCACGAGTTTATTGTGCGAACGAATATATATTCAAGAGTGTGCGGAGCACACAAGTGAATATATACGTCCGCACAATAAATGAGTGCTTTCTGATTCGTTAGAAAAACACAAGTGTGTGGTCTTGCTTTTATCACATACCTTCCGTATTTGGTAGAGATTGTTTCAAAGATTTTAAAAACTTTGATATTTTTTGCAAATACCAGGAACTTTTCAGTTTGCCATGACAAGGGGATTCCCATAAAAAGTGGTTCCAGTTAGTAGGTAAATACAACATATATTTCATGGTCTGAAAATTGCTTGTATTACTATAACAAGATTCAACAGGTATGTGATAAATGTTTGGTATTTTATCAGTATACCCCCTCCCTGGGTAATTCCATTATTGTTTTTTCCCCAGTATACCCCCTCCCTGGGTAATCCCATCACTGTTTTTTCCCCAGTATGCCCCCTCCCTGGGTAAGCCCATTATTGTTTTTTCCTCAGTATACCCCCTCCCTGGGTAATCCCATAACTGTTTTTTCCCCAGTATACCCCCTCCCTGGGTAATCCCATTACTGTTTTTTCCCCAGTTTCACCTCCATGGGTAATCCCATTATTGTTTTTTCCCCAGTATACCCCCTCCCTGGGTAATCCCGTTACTGTGTTTTCCCCAGTATACCCCCTCCCTGGGTAATCCCATTACTGTTTTTTCCCCAGTTTAAGCCCATTAAAAAGATGACAATTGTTGATCTCCAGAAACCTTCTCCCCCCTTAGGATCCTTCATTTTAGCTTGTAGTCTATCTACAGTTATGTTCTGTTCCTTTGCAAATAAAGTTGATTTTGGGAGTTAAAAACAAATACCCAACATGCAATGTAAAAGATATGTTATTATAAATAACAAACTTGAAGCTCAAGTGTCTTTGAAAAAAAAATTGTCATTTTCATGATAAAAAATTGAAGGTCAAAAAAGATGAAAAACAAAAGGATAATTGGTTGTATCAGTATTTACGGACTGGATGGAATTTGTTGTCTGGGTCTTTGACAAAATATTTGTCCCAGATGTCCACATGAGAAGAAACACGCCCCCAGGGTTTGTAACGTCCGTTCCAGTGCAGCAGGTGGGCGTAACTAAGGAAACTCTTACTGTAGCTTGTCCTTGTCGTCCACCCTACAAAATATATACACATTGTCAGGATTTCTTACACTCAATCATACCACTACAAATAAGGATTGAACAGTTATTTTCCAATTTCATGCGGGTATAAACATTGAAAAATGCTGCTCAATCCTTACATTTACATTCTAAATTTCTATGTATTATTGATATTGACCTAAATACAGATATTACCTAATATCTCTGATATGAAGTGTTTATGATTTTGTTGCAAACGAGATTCCTAATGTCAGCAAAATGTTTGTTTCTAGTGGCTATCTCATGTTATTCGAGGCATGAGGAGAAGCTTCGAAATGACGCTGATCCAATAGCATTCATAGCCCTATGAATGCAATTTCCTATGGTAATGCTCATAGAGAAACTTGCAGTGGAAATGTAACTATATATATATGTCAGGTCGTAATATCTTAACATCCAGCAAGAGTGATTAATACAAGGTGAAACACAATTGTTGCAAAATAAATAGTTTATCTTTTCATTTTTTTAATAAACTCACACGACAAAAATACTTAAATTGTTTGTCAGGACTTACTACACTGGTTATCTATTACATGCAGATACTCAATTAGAGAGCAATATTCAGTATGACCAATAATAATAGGGAACAATTTATTTGTAAGTTTTCCTGACACTCTTATTAGGGTATTTTATTCTAGCAAAAACTGTATTTTCGTGTGACATTTGCAGTGGTTGAAATACTGCTTTTAAGAACTACTGACTGTAGCATTGATTAATTTCTCTAACATAGAACTATTGAAATAAATAGAATGTTTTTACTTTTGATTCAATTATAGTTAACAGCATAAGAATAAGTTCACTTGTGTCAAATGCAATAACCTTATAACCATGACAATTTAACCAGTGTCAGTAACAGTATTACGTGAGTAAAGGTTTTTACAGACCTAGGTAGCGGACATGCCAGTTAGGATCTATCTCTGTATACTGGTTGTAAAATACGATCATCATCGGTGGCTGTGAGGCTCCGCCCCCGCGTTCATTTCCATACACTTCCTCTCTGGAACAATAAAATGTTATTCTGCTTATGGCACAAACATATATTACAATTCAAAGAGGAGATGGTCAGAAAACATCAAATGGAGAGTCACGGCAAATTTAATCCAGTTTACATGTTTAGTACATGTTTAGGCCCACTACATTAATTATTATTATGTAGTTATGTAGTTTGGCCGTCATCAGAACAAATGATGGCCATACACTAGCAGAGGTTGGATATCATTTTCCCATATATTGCAATTGTCTGCCCTTTGACAGGACTGATTTATCTTGCATACAATATCAATATTTCCTCATTTTAAATAGTGCTGTAAAATTTTACATGACTCATGTGCCTAAATCGCTGTTACATTTTTATATGTATTTCATTTAGGAGAGTAGATTGTGTTCTTCAATACTTCAACATGGGTTTACCCTTTGTTACAGGAGGTGCTGTTCATACAGACACAAATGACAACAAGGTTACCGCGAACGGTATATAATACGCCCGTCACACATTGAATGAGCAGTTGTTTGTATGATTGAAATATATGAAGTATTTGTGAGTAATTGATATTAAAAGAGAAATCATTCAACATAACTGGTAGATCAATGAGTGCAATACAACATCATTGAACGCATGCATCGCATTAATGAAACCAAGGGTAATAACTCCAGTAATCACGCTTGTCCGTTGGCGGTTATC